GCATCCTCCAGCCGCCCCACTTGTTCCCAAACCTGATATCACTATAAGGATGACAATGTTTCTGAGATAAATCCACACAGAACAAGGCCAGTGGAGCATCATTTTTTCTCACAGCCTGACCAGTGTAGCTGAGTTCATCACTAAAGGAATTAGACAGGCAGTCGATCCTGAAATCCTCTTATGAATTATTCCATAGTCCTTTCACCTTAAATTGCACAACAGAAATTATGTCAAATGAATGAACCACAGTGGCCAAGCTGTCTTAGTGTTGCTCCTGAAAAGTGAACTAGAATGTGTCCCATTAGCAGTTTTTCCCTGGACAACCCAAGAACCAGAATGTCTGGGTGCACAACAACCGGAATCCCTGAGAAAAGCAGATAGTAAAGAAAAGGCTTTTCAAGATACAGTTTCCTGTTCTCTGACTCTCCAAATTGAAGCATCTGCATTTAGTCTATCTCCCTCTGGAAAAGGTACAAATAGTTGTCGCCAGCTGATTTAATTGATAAATTGAGGCCACATGCCACTTGGCTTTGTGGTATTTGTAAACCCGTATTTGTGTCACTTCTTTGCATAGTATGGGAAAAAGTGCTGCTTGAAGTGATGCTGTGGACCAGGGCACCATGAGTGTCTCTGAAGGAAGGAAGCCCGTGCACATCACAAAATAGACTTTTATGAGTGGTAAGAGGCTGAGGTGACAGAGAGGGAAGAAGACACTGATGGGGAGCCAATATTTTATATGAGGTACAGTCAGAATCACTGAAGCAGAATGTCCGGGGAATCATCTCAGTTGGGGCCAATGGGATGAAGATGGGGCAGGAAGAGGTGGTTTCTTTCCATGGAGAGTAGAGAACACAAACAAGAACCAAAGGAGTCCAGAGGTGGTCTAAGCAATGACCCTTTGGCTAAATCCTAAAATGCACCCAAATGGCACATTGGTATTTAACTGTCCACTGATTTTCAACAGCCCCAGCGTGGAGCTCTCCACTCCAGCCTAAAGTGACAGGGTGTTGGACTTCCTTGATCTGGGCAGTGTCTGCCGGTCCTGAGCCTTCACCAGTGGCCACTGTAAAGCCAGAGTCTTCAATGCTCAGTTATCACTGAAGGCTGCCCCTTCAGAAACGTGACCCCCAAATTTCAGGGTTCTTGTCTAGTCTATTTGAGGAAAAAGCCATTCAAAAGTTTTGAAATTGCTCACAGGGCCGGCCCGGTGGCACATGCTACAGTGCGCCGCTTGGGAGCATGGCGGCGCTCCCACCGAGGGTTCGGATCCCACATACAGACCGGCTCCCGCTCACTGGCTGAGCGAGGCGCGGGAGCAACACCGAGGCTTGCGATCCCGTTGCCGGTCCCGGTCCGGTACGGGTGCGACACTGAGAGTTGCGATCCGTTGCCGGTCACGAAAAAAGACAAAAAGGAAATCCGAGGGTTCGGATCCCACATACAGACCGGCTCCCGCTCACTGGCTGAGCGAGGCGCGG